TTGACTTAGCATTAAAATGGTATCAAAAGGCTAAAGAAAACGGTCATGATCGAGCTCCCGAAATGGTTGAATCTTTCGATTTTGAAAAAATATATTCTAATTGGTAGTTAAAAACTTAAAAACTTTTGGTCATTTATTAACTTTAAATTTACATATAAATATTATTATTTATATATGTAATATTCTGTTATCATTCTGAATTATTTTATCTTATATATTGTATTTGTCTTTCTAAGTTTTATTTTAATATGCAATAATATTTGATGCAAATTTGTAAATATTTTATTATTATGATTTTCTTTGGCCCTTTTTAATATCGATATCGTTTAAATTTTACTCGATAAATAAATGTGATCATAAAAATTATGTGAAATTAGACTAAATGATTTATAAGTAATAATAAAGAATTTTTTTGAAAATTTAAAGATCTTTTAAGAGCATTACAATCATAGATTTAACGCATACTGGTGACAACATTTGTTTCATATCGATATGTATTTAACAAATTGATAAATATACCATCTTCAACGAGGCATTGTAATTATGCCGTTTTTAAATGAGATAGAATCATGTAATTGGCGTACGTGCTATCAAATGAAATTATAATTCTCTTGATCAGATAAATAACATTGACGAATAGAGACAATATGTATATTAGAAGACAATTAAAGTATTAAAAATCATTTAGGACTCTTTGGAGCAATATCTCTTAAATTAGTCTTGATATAAAGAACAATTCCAAGTTTATGATCAAAATAAATATTAATCAGAGTCACTGATTATTTAATAAAAATGAATCTAAAGCTGAAACATAATGCGCAAATATATGTGATGCATCATATAATGTATAGGTGAAGCTAACGCTAATAAATTCATATTGACAATTTAACGTTAATGATGATGATGCAATTTAACAATTTAGAAAGGAAGGTTGATTGATTGATCTAAACATTAAACTTTTATTTAATTCGTAATAAAATAGGATCTTTAAATGTCTCACCAAATATTTTGAGCTGTATAGTTCTAAATAGCTAGCAACATCAATAATACTATTTCCAATTCTAAAATGAATTCAAAAGAATGTGTAATCGAATTCACTGGATTATTTGATTCTCTAATGACTGGTTCCGTTCGAATTAAATATATCATTGTCGTCTTTGCGGGAAATACTTAGCCACAACAAAATCGATATCCTTGGGAATTTATTACATGTAGTAGTAGCAGTTAAATATTGATGCTCGGAGTAAAGTAGGGGAAGTGCCATAAATTAGGTGATTTGAGGGGGGAGGGGACCCCAACCAGTGATGTCTCATATTTTGCTAATTAACTATGATTCGAATTTTTGAGAAGCATTGTGTCCGAAAATATTGTTTAAGCAAATTTGAGGGTGGTTTATTATGTAAAATCTGATAGTTTAGACCAGCACTATAATAGTGTCGCATTATAATCATGCCAGCCTGAATTATCATAATGCTAGTTATTCAATATTTTCATTGGTCGGTATGACCGTGACGGTGCATATTTTTTATTCAACGTAATCTCTCACATACTTAACATCAGTGCTCTTAGATTCAACATTGGCGGAAAGAGAAACGTGAAGTCTTCTACAAACGCAGAGTTGGTTACTAAGTCCTGGCGCCCTAGCAACTGGTCAAGTGCAGCAAAAAATTCTGTATCTGTAGCAATCGGAGGTATAGTTGCTGACTGTATTGAGACCATCTTTTGGACATTATCTTGGCGACGAATTGGAGAAATAGGTGTTGGCTGTGTTGAGGAAGATTTTGATGACAAACTGGAGGCATAAACATTGGTTGTGTTGAGGAGGTTTCTTGGATATCTCTTTGACGAGGGTGAGTGGTTTTTTTGTGGTCCGTAATTATTTTAAGTGTTGGAAAATCTTTGCCACATATTGTGCAACAAAGTCTTCGATGCATTTCAGGGGAGATAGATGGGCAACATTCGTCAAAATTGGAAAGTTTCACTTTATCCATATACTGTAGTATATGGATAGGATTCTTTCCCTTGGTGAAAGGCGGAAGAAATCCTTCACTTTCCTTTGAAGCTCAATAGCTTCTATGGCGCGTACTTCACTGCAACACATGCGATTATTACACTTCTTCACATCCAAAGAATATCGGCAGATTCGGGTATGTTCTTCAATCCATTGCCATGTAGGTCGTTCTTTTCCATTTTTTCGAAAGGATCTATGTTTTCATCAATGTAAAATGTACATATAGGTCTTCCATGTACTTTATCACGGCGCCAAAGTTCACAAAGTCACTGACCCGAATATTCAATATTTTTTCTACACAGGTTTTCATTACGAACTTTTCTTTGGCTATTGAGACGAGAGCCATAATCATCAATGGGAAGCACTATACTGGCCAACTTTTCAGACAAGCTTGACATACTTCGTTCTATTGGATTATAGGCCGATTGTCCTGGAGCATGTGTTCGAACTGAAAGGTAGTCTAGATCCGTCTCCTTGAAAAATCTGCAGCATTCTATCATGTTTTTAACATGTCTTGGGTTCTCGTCTGGACCTCCATCCACAAGAAGTATCATAATAGATTTCAATTTGCCTTCCATATTAAATCTTGTGCAAAGGTATCCATCGTTTGCATTATAATATATGAGACATAGATGACGTACTAACGAAGTATTCTGGTCTTACAAATATTACAAGCTGTCCTTGGTGAAGACTTTCATTAGAATCAAGTAGATTGATCAAAGATATACAGATGGTACAAATTTCATCTTTGAAACATATGGAAATCATGATCTGAGATTGTGACGGGCTCTTTTTGAGTTTGAATTGTTTGAGAAGTTCTACCAACTGCAGATATACCAAGACTACCTTTGGCTTTATTATCTTGTGATATAATTATAATGTGATTAGAAAATGCTTGAGCCAATTCTCTAGTTGTTTTTACCAAAGCTAAACAATAATGTTCATCCAAGTGATATTTTATTTCTGTTTGTGCAACACCACTAATTGCTATACATGCTGGATGATGGTGTTGACGTGCAGCAAAAGTGCTGGCAAGACGAGGTAACATATATGTTGAAAGATATACAGAGTATTTTTCTTCCATTTCTTTCTTTAAATATTTGATAGTGCGGATAGAGATGTGCCTATGCGCATAGTTACTAACTGATATCGTAAATGCCCTTACACAATTATGCATATGGTTAAGTTCATTAATCATCACCAATTAAGGCATTTGTACTCAATAAATAATGATAAACAAACGCATTTATACCGATACAGAACATACGTATAATGATAATCATAAATATCTTTATTGTTGAAGTTCTATATGGGAACGTTTAATCGAATTAGTCATATTGCTGGATTTCAATAACAACATGCAGAATGTAAATACTGTGAAAATCCCAAATATCAATGCAATAATTTAGTAATTCAGTATAAGTCACATCTGTGTGTATGTCCAAATACCTCAATTGAAGTTAAATAATCATTTTTTGGTATGAGCTTTGAAAATCCAGAAATTGCTAATACAATTTCACTCAATGCCAATTCGCCTGGAAGTTAACTTATGCAATACAAAGCAAAATCAGATCTTTTCAGTAATACATTAATATGGAAGTACATTGATAATATTAATCCAATTACTTGGTGGATTGCGAATTTTGCACAAGAAGTACCTGAATTAACACAATTAGCACAATGTATCTTAACAATTCCAACATCATCTGCAACTTCTGAATGTAACTGGTCAGCTTTTGCAAATATTTCATAACAAAAAAAGAAATCAGTTAAGTAGTAAGCATGCACATTTTTAAATTAGTTTATATTTATAGTAATTATAAATTACAAACTCCTCCAAATAATCAAGAAAATTATCAAAAAAGCATTAATAATGAAATAAGCATCAATCAATATTATGCTGGTAATGAGAGTAATGAAAGCAAATATCAGGATAATAATGAAAGTGAATATCAGGATGGTAATGATAATGAACAATTTAATATATCAGATAATAGTAATAATATATTAGAAACATCAAGTGATAGTGATAATTATTGAGAAAATAAAATCATCATTAGTTTTATGAATTTCACATCATGTATTTTGATTACTATATATATACATGTAGATTATTATGCGTGTATATACAGTGTGTTGCAAAAGTCTTTGAACAAAATCATTAAATCATTACACCACAATGGCTGATCCAAATCACATGTTTAATGATTCATTTGAAAGCTGAAAAGCACGAGATTATTTTAAAAAAAATTAATAAAGTATATGTTCACCATTGTTTTTAATAATAAGATTACAATGCTCTTTCATAAATCTCATTAAATTATTGATAAGATGTTGAGAGATCTCTGCCCATTCCTTCTTCATAAATTATTCCAATTGCAAAATATTTTTTGATAGTTATATCTCTACATTCCTCTTGATAATACTTTATAAGTTTTTGATGGGATTTAGATTGGGACTGTTGAATAGCTAATCAATTACTCTTGGAAAGTTATTTTGAAGATATTCTTTCATCATACCATTTGTATGCTTCAGATCATTATCTTGTTGGAACTGCTAATTGTTTCTTAATATGTCTTTGATCTCAGAAACATGTTTCTTTAGGATATTGATATAGAAAAGATCAGTTATATCTTCTCAGAAGTAAAAAAGACTTGTTTTACCTTTTGTATAAAATCTGTTCCAAGCATTAATTTTTGATTAATCTTTTGTGATATGATGAATTGGCTATTTACCCTTGTATCAAACTTGTATAGTATTTCTAAATAGTCAAAAACTTGTTTTATCAGAAAATATTATCTGATTCTAATTGTCATTGAGATGATTTTGCATTCATTCTATCTACTTTTTCTTGTATGCTACTGTGAGTATTGGTATTACCATTTGTCAAAGCCATGTTTGGCTAAATATCTTGAAAGTATACTATAAGATATCCAAGTATCTTTTTTGAATAACTTTGCAGTCAATATTCTTAAAGATATTGTAGAATTTCTCCAAATAATCTGTCCAATAGATCTTGAGCATTCAGATATGATTTTTATGGGACAACTGCTATATTTTTTGTGGACTGTACTTTGGGTTTTCTTCAATTTTGAAATGTTATAGTAGATAGTTAATCTCATAATATTTGTTAGATGATATATTTCACCTGCACTTTTGCCCCGAAGTCAGAAATATTCAATGGTATTTTTCTTGATCATGCATTTTTATTCACTCTTTTTAGAAAATATATCAATAAAATTTGGCAAAAAAAAAAGTAAAATAACTCTTATAGCACCAAATATCTTATTCCTTTTTATTTGGTCTAGTTTGGATTGAAATAAAATAAGTTACACTAATTTGATTTTGAATAATAATTGTTCAAAGACTTTTATAATACACTCTACTATGTGCATATACATATTATATACATATTTGTCTATTTCTAAGTATGGATCTTAATAATTGACTTTCTTCACATATCTGTAGTACTAAATTCTATACAGTCATGCAATTGGCAAGTAAATCTGAATTTTTTTGAAGCTCTAAAGATCTTCCAGATGTATTATAGATTTCAATTATTCCTTTTTTATACAACAGCTTATATTTTTTTATGTACAATATTTTTTGATTCTTTGTATTATATTTAAGTCTAGCAAGATATTGATTTTCTTGTTCAATTACAGCCTGTTTTTGTCATAATTTCTCCAATATACAGCTTTGCAAACTATGATCTTTGGCTTATGTAATGAGATTTCATATTTCACAATCTCACTTTCTGCTTTATTTATTTTTTCAATACTTTGACATTATGCTAAAGCATTAGATAAAATGATAAGTATTTGGTGAGGAGTTAGAATTGTTAAAGAAATTGATGATTGAGTAATATTTGTATGAACAGTTGTTAGAAATCCAATTGTAGTCAAAATATATGGAAATTTTATTAAATATTATTTAATTTGGACTTTAATCTTGCTTGTTTGTTAGTGGCAAATATTTTTTCACTCTTTATTTACATTTTCTATTAGAACTTACTTGTTTGATGCATATTGTCTTCTTTAATCATGATATAATAAGAAAATGCATTGGCAAATTCATGTTAAAGATATTGAGGTATAGCATAAAAATATGATTTGTTGAATGATGGAGCAGAAAGAAATATTTGCATTCTAAGTAAATATTATGGTTGTTATAATAAATTGAATTTAAATACATCAAAAAATTATCATTCTTGTGTCTGTTATACATGTATTATAATTATAATTTAGGCTGGCACTAATTTTATAGTGTCAGCCAAAATCTTGAGGGAAAAAGGGGGACAAGCTTTCTAACAAAATTAAATTATCTAATTTCTGATACTTCTCTAAGTGAATGGCAACATGAATTTATTTATCTGGAAAACTTGTTCAGTTTCATGGTTGAACTTGATATATTGAAAAAATTTTTTGGCCAGTTAGTATCTTAATTTATAATAGGTTTGGTTTTATATATAGAATAAATCTTATTGACAGACATTGAATCAAATAAATAGCAAGAATCTATACTTCACAAGATTATAGGTAATTTTGATTTCTTTCTTCCAATTTATACATACCATTCTCACCAAAAATTATGGGAATTTCTTTTTAAGGTTTTATTGTTTCACCATTTCTTGTGCAATACTCTTAATATATTAAAGAGATAGATACACAACATGATACTGCATTTTTTTCTGATTTAAACTTAAACTAGTGTATCAAAATGGAGGAATCATCACTTGCTTGCCACCAGTGTTTTTCAAGAATTATAGACAAATGATATTCATATGCTGGCATGTTTGGCTGAAATTATGGACATACCAAAAATGGCTATAGCTAAACTAAAGAAAAAAATGAAAAAATTGATCTCCTTCCCCCATTCTGATGGACCAGTCAAATTATCATCTTGAAAAAAGAAAAGATTGGAAAATTTTATTGAAAAAGATCATGGAATTCCCACAAATGAAATTGCAGAAAAACTCAATGCTTCCTATCCAAGCTTGAATATTTCAGAATGAACTGTTATTAGAATACTGACAGAACTTGGTTGATAATGTATTTGGCCAAAATCTGTATCAATTAAATCCAGCTTGCAAAGAACGTCACGTCAAATGGGCCAAAAATCACTTGCATCAAAAATGGAGTTGGGTAGTTTTTTCAAATGAAACAATCTTTCAAATGTTTCGAAATACAAAAAACAGGTGACTTGTACAGTAGAATGTTTAAAGGGTTTATTAAGTCAAAATGGGATAATCTTGAAATGTGAGTATTTTGAGGTTAGTAGGTAGTATGCCAAATAGAATAGGGAAGGTACTGATGAGAAATGGACATATAATTAAGTACTAATTTTTTTATGGCAGTTACTACAATAGCATAGCATTTTTATTTTTTTGTTTCATGTTGTTATCCTTTTTTTTAGTGAGATATAAATAAATATGTGATTCCCATTACTTTTGGCGAGAACTGTACGTAAGACATGCAACATTCTTACACCGATTGCTTACGTTCATAAATATGAGGAAAGCCATCAATTTTCAAACACAAATTTTGACAAATATTGTCTGTTAATGAATTACACGGAATCTTGATTAGAATGAAAAAAATTTGCAAGACAGTTTAACTGTGCCAATGATTGTCTTTAATAATAAGACTATGATAATAAGAATCCCGATGAATCTCGTCAAATAAGTGAATCCGAAGTTTCAAGATCTGCAGCAAAGTCTTTTAAAGAATTCGAATCTCAGCAATTAAAATACATAAATCTGAAAACAGCTACAACAGAATATTACAAGTCTTTATTGACCAAGAAAAAAGTACCAGTTCCTGTAAAAAAGATAAGTAACAAACATACATTCAACAACTGTGCAGACAATAAAGGTAAAGACTCTTAATCGATAGAAAGTTTTAATGGAATTGTTTTTACAATCGTCGAATAATAATAACCACAAGAGCAATAATAAATTGTATTGATTGCAGATACTGGATTATTATGAAATTCGCGTGATTCTTTTAAGTTGTAACAATATTACTATCGCTATCGTCAAAAAATAAAATTACATACTGCATGTATATATTAACGTTAATTGTT